TTTATTGGGCCCTTTCCCAAAAAGTCAGTTAAATAAAAGTCGCTATCTCCTTGTTATGGTTGATCATTTTAGTAAATGGACCGAAATTGTTCCCTTAAAACGAGCCTCCGCGAAATTAGTTACCTGATTCTATTTTAAATAAATATATTTTAAAATACGGGGCGCCCCTAAAAGTTATATCGGATAATGGTCCTCAATTTGTAAGTAATATATTTGAAGACATGTGCCAAAAACTGGGCATACGTCATTTAAAAATGGTCCCGTATCGGCCGCAATCAAATATAGCGGAACGGGTCAATAGAAATATAGTGAAAATTATCCGTAGTTATGTTAAAAATTTTCATAAAAGCTGGGATAACTATGTCAATGAATTTGCTTTCGCCCTTAGGACCGCAAAACATGATACAACGGGCAAAACTCCTGCTGAGTTATTTTCTAGGCAGAAAGATTATAACACCGTTAGATAAATTATTTTATGTGCAACAAAGAGCCCCAGAATTTAAAATGGGTGATATAGAAAAACTAATAAAAGAAGCAAAAAGAATACGGAAGTAGCACAAAGAAAACAGAAATTCTATTATGATTTGAAACGACGGGGAGTAACTTATAAAGTAGGGGATGAAGTTTTAAAAATTAAGCATTCACTTTCTTCAGCACCAGAAGATAAAACTGCCAAATTTTTTCCACGATTTGAAGGACCATATGTTATAGAAAAAATAACTCACGCTGTTAGTAGTGTTAAAAGCCAGAAATGGTGAAACCTGTTCCGCAAACATTGATCAAATAAAACCCTACTTCGATCGTAATAAAATGCAAATCTTTTCAGATCTTTTGCAGGATCCGGCACGGCAGACACCGCAGGTACAAGTTCCAGAGGTGGAAAAACGACAAGTACAAGGGCAAGCCAATGAGAGACAGGAAGCAAGTGAAAAGAAAATTGCCCCCGCGGAAAAATTGAAGGTAAGCAAGAAAAAGAAGCCGTTCCACCGTCCAGAAAAGAGAGTTCACGAACCCCCCAGAATGAAGAAGGGAGAAGGACGACGTATGTGAAGAGAACCAGGAGAAATGACGGCAACTATAACCCGGCTTTAAAACGGAAGATCTACTCATCCGACAGGAACTCTCCGCAGCAAATGTCGCCGAACTGCGGAAGGGCCATCAGCGGCGGAGGAAAAAGTTACAAGGAAAATTTGAACGGCCAACAACGAGGTCCAAGCAGGATCACGACAGAAGTTTCCCGGTTCCGCCAAGACCAGCTGCCATCAAACGGCCAAGACCACAATCAGAGGAGAAAAGGAAGGTGTTCAAGGGTGGCCGAACTGGTGAAAAACGGAAGCTTCCAGAGGAAAGCACTGAAGGGCGAGCCCGTACAAGAAGGAGGATAAACCAACTACTATCTGCATACCTTTAAAGACTGGGCCCAGAAAAGGATGTCCGAATATTCACAAAGATAAGTAAAATTTTATGTTACTTTGCAAACTTAAGTTAATCTTTCATTCTTACTGCAAGTGGCAGATTTCAAGAAGTTTTTACCTCATGCGAGGTCTACCTTTATCGCCAAAAGGGCGAGAAATGAGTTGTGACCGATTTTCTTATTATGTTTTTTTAATTACTCGCGCGTAAAACTAAAGTTGATGTATAATAGCGTTGTGTAAAGACTTAAATATTGTAAAAAAGTTATTGTAAATAATTTTATTTAAAACATTCTAGCAAGAAAGAGTTTTAGTCTGAAAGACTTTTTTTTTTTTTGAAATGTAGTATTTATTTTCAATGTAAAGAATTGGCACTTGCTTTGAAAAGAATAGAAAGTTAACAATGTACTACTAATGTATGTTTTCAAATGTGTAAAATTAACGGCATGTTGATATGTTCTTATATACACATGTGAACTGTTATTTTAAATGTTAAGAAATACCGTGATATGGTAAAGTGAAAGTAATGTTAAAAATTTTGTTATTCGTGTGACTGTAAAAGACTAAATCATGGCGAATATGTGGTTAAAGGTTGAATGATGTAGTTAGGCTCTCTGACGCTACACTTTAGAGTTAGCCACTTTAGAATAGTACCTCAGGGTTTAGAGTTGAAATTAGGGTGTGTTAAGAGGTCTCGTTATGTTGAATTTTAACACGTTAGTGTTTTGATTGTAGGAGGAAGTGTGGAACACGTAGACAGAAACACATTCGTGTTTGGTGTTCTTTTACAACACATGTCAGAGAGCACGGGGAGAGATAATTAAAATAGTCATGAATGAAATAAGAATGTTAAAGAAGTATATTCTATATGTTACTTGCCAATTTCATTGTGTAACATTTCATTAAACTAGTTTTCCTTCCAGAGATCTCTGGAAGGAACCAGAATTGAATAAAAGCTCCTGTTTAGATGCAGTACAGATGAGAAAAAAAAAAGATTGTTGTATATCCTGGGAGCTGCTATTGTAACAAATTTCTTTCTTTTAAATTTCTAGTTTCTAGCGAATTATGGTTTTGTAAAAGATTGGCCTCGCGTTAGATTCTAGAGCTAAAAGTTTTCAACAAGGTCGTTTTAGACCTCAGTTTCAAACTAATTAACTCTGGCGGGAAGTATGTAAGGATCTTAAGTTTTACTAACGTTTATTTTATTTTAAATCTTTACTATCACTTCTTATTTTCTACTTCCGGCCAGAATTATAAGCGTGAAGGAGTTTTAATGCAAAGTTTGTCTGGCGAACGCCAAGTATTTAAGTTGTGGCCTTTTGCCAAGCGAGAGAGAGGAAGCAGTTGAGTTCGAAGCAGGCCGCTTACCTTAGAAGTTTACGCAGTTGCTGTTTGCCTTCCAGGCCAGAGGTTTTAATCCTCTTGATAAATTTTAAACGTATTGTAGTGTTCACAGTTCTCTGTACTACATACGCTTCCTGTTATATAAGGCCAATCTTCCACGTTTATTATTCTAAAGTTAAATTAGAGTTTAGTTTTATTTTTATACTTTTACGTTTAGACCCCAGTGGCGGGTCTTGTATTCCGAAGTACGGAAGTCATTGTATTAGAGAAAAATAAGGGTTTTGTATACCCTTCGTCTGTATCCTGTCTACTTACCACAATTAGTGAACATAGCTTTAGTAAGCTCTCTGTTCCGAGTCAGGTCCTTGTATGTTCCCGAAGAAGGTTAGAAGAAACATTGAACCTGAAACATTATACCCAGAAAACCACAAAAATTCCACTTTGAAAGGTAAAATGCAATTTTTTAGAGCGAGTTTTCCTAACATGAATTTAGCAATTTCATACAATGCTAATTTAATTAATTAAAACAATGTTCTTTTGTATTTACGTAAGTTAACTCTTTCTGTCAAAAATATCATAAAAATGCACCGAATTTATAACCATGTAATTAGTTCTGAACTGAGAGGTATCTGTGACATCTTGTCTATATGTAGAAAATTTTTAATAAGTTATTAATAACTGAAATTTGTTTCAAAATATTCAATCAACCAAATGCGATGAAGGTAAATTCCCCTTTATAAATAGGAAACGATAAACGAAATCAATTTGTGGTAAAATATTACAAACTATGTCGAAATGACTGCACGACAGTGTTTGTTTTTAAATAGTAATTTAATTAACAATTACATGTAGCTTTCATAGAATTCGGTATTTTAAGCCCTTATAATTTTTTCTTAGCGTTAAAGCTCGATAACAATCAAAAGCAAAATTATTTAAATACCTGTCTCACTGTCGTAAGATTATATTACTGAAATATGCATATAAAAACAAATTAAACATTCTATAAACGTACATTAAAATACCGAACGCAATAAAATTAAACATTTATACTTAAAAGCAACAAAGCCGGCTCATGTGAATCACTAAGAGCGCCAAATTGGCATACGCTTTCGAAAATTACTTTAATTATTAGGAAATAAGCTTCGTCAACATTAAATCATACAACAAACAAAAATTGCAAGGAAACCTGGAAATTAATGCAATATACATTTCAGTGTCATTTCTTATTTATCAAAAACGATTTTTTAACATTTTCATTTAAATTATAATTGGCTACATTATTTTCTGAATTTATAAACTACGATTAAAAGTACTTTAAGAATTATGGTATAATTAGACTATAAGAGTCTGACTTCTGATTTAATCATTACTTTTGCTTAATCAGGTAGCTATTTTTATATTTATTGGACGCGCATTGACCCTCTTGCTCAAGGTTTAAAACTATTTTGCACGGCTCTATACAATTAAGATTAGAAATATTGCACAAAATTAGAACAATGGCAATACAAATCCTTTCTTTTTTGGATTTCCAGAAAAAAAATATCTTTTTTCGTCTACCAAAGCATGGACACAAAACGTGTTCCTTCTCCGTAAGGGCAAAGCACCCATCTGCTAATCGCCTCTAGCGGTAATAAGGACAGTAGGACGCCATCACTTGAGTGAAACACTTGTTGATCGCCCTACAAGGGGGGGAGAATCCTAACAAAGCCGTTTTCAGACATTTTGGTTCACTCTAAGTGAAAAAAAAGTTGTAAACATGGTTAAATTTTACTGCAGTTTTCGAGACGTAAATAGATTTGAATGCGAGCCGCCCGGTGGGTTAATGTGTCGCAGACAAACATTTTAAATGCAAAAATTTTAATGTACTTATAATGCATTACTTATATGTACATTTTTGTAAAATGCTCTAGCTTAATATTTAAAAAAAATCGATTTTAAAGAAAACATATTTTTATTTTGATTTCGGTTTATTAAAAAAACTTTAAAAAAATAATCAAATAATGTCATATTATTTTTTATGCTACTTTGATAGACTTGCGAAACACTTCTATTGCAGACTTTCTGTAAAAACAAGCAGGCAAAATAAATGCAACTATTTGCATCATTAATGCATTAAAAGTTTAGTGATAATCGTAATGGTGTTGACAAAGTAAAATTCCTTTGTAAAATACAGATCGGTTTAAAATCTCTCATTTAAAAATAATTGCTTGAAAAGTATGTAAAAGTTATGCTGTTCTTACCTGATGAGGATCTCTGCCATCTCCCATTTCGCACTCGACCCAGATGGGAGACAGGGGACCATCGCCATCGACGTCGATCTGGTAGCTTCCTGAATGGCGGATGCTTTGGTAATTCCACAGGTCACGGCAGTTTCTTTCTAGGACCGAGCGTCCAGCTATAGAAGGACAAGGCAATACATTAGAAAGCCCATACGATATAAATGCCATATTAAGTAATTTCTATTGTTTTGACTCCACTCTTTCTGTTCGATCTTATTGTTTTACTTCAAATGTAGTTCCGAATTCAATGACAACGCAATGCAGTATAACTCCCATCTAGCAAGTCTGGTTACAAGACCGTGCCAGTGTTAATGACCGTGCCAGTTTTCGTTAGTATTTGCTAATCCATTTTCGGTATCCACGCTTGTCAACAGGCTTAATTGAATAATTGTTAGACATAGCAACAAATGATAGCATGTCCTTCAAAGCAACAAATGACAGCATGCCCTCGATTGATATTAGATCATATTTTGGGTGTTTGCAGTGCACGTTTTCTAACTAAACTTAACACATTCCAATGAAAAAGTTAAAAATATCTGCAGCCTTATATGTATTATTTTGATACAGTTGTCTAAGTGCAAGTTCTACATTTTCCCGAAAAGTCATCAGTACTTTAGCATATTTGAGCTTCCAACTTCACTCGATTTAAGAATATTACTTGGGAAATTTCAAATAGAATGTGCGTAGTTATAATTAAATATTCAACTTAAAGCCGAACTTAGGTAAGCTTACTAGCATGAGCTAAGGTAAGCTTAATAGAGTGGGTTGCTTTGTAATAAAATATTTTCATTTGATTGGAACATTTTTTCAATGTTTTCCCGTTGACAATGGTATTTATTTTATTTTTATGTTGTTGAATAGCTTGTGCAATCGTCAGGATGACAAGTAAATAAGAAAGTTTACTTTCAAATTTAATCCGAGCTTGTTTTACTCTACTTAGGATTTAAGACAGGTCGATAAGCTGCCGAAATGTCTTTACGATTCTAGAAGTTGATCGTTAAGTGTTGAAGAATCATATATCTGGACCTCAGAACGATCTTGCTATATAAAATGTAGCCTTCGCTTTTCAATCAGACCATATTTATGTCATGGCTTTCCGGTAGTATTATCATTTGCGTAGAGCTATATTGTAGACTGAAATACTTTAGACCTTTTTGTAGATTGAAATTTGTGGGAATTTAAAGCGAAAATGTTTTACTAGAACCGTGAAAGTCTAAGAATTGCCGCATTAGATACTGAATGATCAGTTTTACAAATGAGAATACCAAACATTTCACTAGTTTTTCGCTTGCACATTTCTTGTAAGCATACATAAGATGTAAATGATTTTGCTTTACTCATACACTTTAACTATATAATACATTTTATCTGCAGTTTCAGAACGATATTTTTTGACTCATTCCGTCCCAAGAAGCTAAGGCATTGGATATATTTGCTTTAGTCAAAGAAGACAAATTAATTAACTAAATTATGAAGCTAATTAGAAGATATGATTAATTAAATTATGAATTATGATAATATTTTATAATTAACTAAATTATGAAGCTAATTAGTCCGCACTTCATTAGATTCTTAATGTAAAGCACAGTGTTAGAATAAATCATGAAAACAAAAATTCATCAAAGAAAATTCTATGTAGTGTAAAAATTCATATTATACTTTAATCAAACATATCTAACTCGTATATATTAGTCGGGAGAAGTACACACATTAATAAATTAAGTTTCGACCACAATAACTTACCTACAACTGTGAAAAGGTAAATAAAAAGGCCAAAGAAGATGGATATATCCATTGCATACATCCGCTATTTATCCATGGTTATGTGCTCTAAAAATAGAGTAAAATACGTAAATTAATTTTTTTTGTGTTTATGCGCCCCTATTTAGCTCAAATATCATAAAAAGTAATTTAACATACTTTCATGTGATCAAAAGTTTAGTGATTTCAGAATTTTTAAAGTGTGTACAGATATGCACTGTGCTGCATATGATAAATTTATTACCCCCTGCCTCAAAAAATATCTTCCAATTATTTTTGTTTCCAACTGGTTTTCGAATTTTCTTTTCGTATTAATTTGACAACTTTCTTCATCAGTTTTTTGCATACTAGAGAATACAGCTTTGTATCAATAATGATTATGACTATGGATCAATATGATTAAATTATTGATCTAATCGTCTTTTATGTACTTTGTAGACACCCAAAAGCAAAGTTAGTGGCGGATTTATGAAGTGACAAGCATCCACCTTTTGAACGTTTCTCATCTTAAGATGCAGTGTATGTTTATCATATTTTAAAAATTAATTAATGATTTTGGACTTCTCTAAACACGGAATCCCTCAGAACTGCAACTTACACAACCTTTAAATACACATGAAATATATGGGTAAAATCTGGATTTCTGGATCAGTCTGACTAAAATGCCTCCATTTTTATCTTCTTATACTCCAGTGTTCTCTATTCTGAAAAGAATACATTCCATGGACTCGTCAATCAGGCTTCTTTAAGAAACGCCATAAATTTTACGTAGCCAGTGTTTGGAATGCAGTTTTCACTTAAAAATATCAAAGCAAAAGCGATTGTTACAATCTTTTTCATTTTAAATATTTTGCAACATTGGTATTACTTTAGAATAATGATTTTTACATTAAAAATCGTCTTTACTCAATGCCTATTTTTAAAGTTATATACATAAAACCACTGTTTAGCTCTATATCGAATATTTTAAGATTGATGTTTTTAAAATACTTTTAAAACACACAGAATAAAAAAGGCTTTGTGTAGAGCATCTGCCCTGCACAAAAGTAAGCTCGTTCTAATATTCTGAGAGGTATCTTCCCAGGCCTTTTCAAAACGAGCTAAGAATTCAAAAATTTTGTTTGGAAATATCCAGACATTTAAATTCATCCAGATATTTAACACGGATGAGGCTAAATGGAAGATGTCTATGATCAGGCAAATTTTATGTTTCATTCCTGTAGAATTCTAGCTTTAAAAGAAAATCTCATTATTTTTATGTTATCTCATTCGGCTTTATAAAAATGTCTTTAGCCAATTGTTCACCTTTATTTCATTTAAATCTAATGTACCGTTCACCCGCAGAAATAGAAGTCTGTTATTAGAGAAATTGAGCAGCAATTTATTGGTGTAATATTTAAGCACGATATTTGTCAATGGAAGAGCTTTCGGAAATGTAGCGGTTAATTCGAAATTTCGTAGTCCAATGCTATGTTAGCGGGTCGATCAAGCTACATCTTTTCATGTCGCAGGAACTGAACAATAATGTGCATCGATTGGCCTAAAAGAGTCTATCAGGAAAATGTTACAATAACAACAGCTTAGTACAGCGGTGAAAATGTTGTGCGGCGGGACTAGTTCTTCCGCACAAACACGTAGCGCAAGCATGTAATGTCTCGTTTACAAGCATACAATGTCACTTCACACACATGGATCATTGTTTTGTTCAACTCCATATCATGACATTTTTCCATGGAAAATCTAGTCTAACCTTTTTGGATTATATCAATATAGACCTATTCTGTAAACTATATATCTTTCTATATTAGACTTATCTATTCATATAAAGAAGACAATCTGTTTGTTTGTTCGCTAGTAACACAATCATTACTATAGCTATCGTCGCCAAACTTCTACAATTCTTTTCTGGGTCTTGGAAAGGGTCGACGTCCACTTTTTTCCAAAAAAAAAAGTAGTTAAAATCAGAGATATTAATTAGAAACGCTAATTTTCGCCCTCATTTTTCCGAGTGGCAACAGTCTCGCATCCTGGAGATCAGTGGCGTAGCTCGAGTTTCCAGCTCCCGGGAACAACTGAAGAATTTGCGCCCCTTTCTGTGTGCCAACAATGGAAAACATTTCATTAAAAAATTTCGTAGTATCAATTTGTCGCCCCTTGGATGCTGCGCCCGAGTACAGATGTCCCCCTTGCCGCACCCTAGCTACGCTACTGCTGGAGCTCGCTTTCAAATTGTAGAGTTTGTTAATAACAAATTTCGAAGTTTTACAACGGAAAAAATATAACATGGCCAAACATTAAATGCATTTTTCTCGATTCCAAAAATCCTTGGGAAGCCACTTCGACTATTCCCATCTTCGTACGACTTTAATCAGCCGAGATATTAATTATAAACTCTGAAAACACTCATTTTCGTACTCACCATGAATCCATAAGCATAACACCATAAGCGAATAATGATGATTAATTTCTTATATTCTTTCCAAGCACAGAAGATACAAAGCATTTGCTCAGCACAAAGATAAACTTTATTAGTTAAACAAACAGAATAAAAATAGAGAAATGTGAACTATTATTACTATTAACAGGAAAATAAGCTCTAATGTAATCCTGTTTTTTAATATAACAAATCTTTCGAAGACTTACATTTTTTATTCAAAAGTTAATTCTAAGATATATATGCATATTTATTCAAAGACAATATATATATATTATATATACACATTTTTATTCGAATGTCAATTCCAAGATGTATATATATGTCATATTTTGGCCGTCGGGCACATGAATTAAGCTTAACATGTAATGATGACAGAGAAGAAGTTAACCGTTTTGATTCCACATCTTTATTCAGTTCAAATGGCAGATCATTATTGTTTTAGATTCTCAAAAATAACATATGCAATAGTCATTTAAACTAAATAGGATTAACTTTAAATATACTGCGTCATACTATTCAAACAAAAAAAGACAAACGGAAGAGCGGCAGCAAATGTCTGATAGCGGCAAGAGGAGAAAAACAGTCTGATGAAAAAGTTCTAGTTGCAGTTCCAGTGTTAAGCCGCGAGTAGCTTGCAAATTTGGTCGCTTTGTTCCGGCTGCAGTCACATAAGTTGCTACTACGATAAGGTGACCAGACGTCCCGCTTTTGGCGGGACAGTCCCGATTTTTAACAATTTGTCCCGCGTCCTGCGACGTTTTAAAAAAGTCCCGATTTTTGGAAAGAATGCACGATCAGCTAGGGAACTGCGAGAGAATACGGTTTTCGGCTGCCATGTGGCTATTTCGCCAGGATATATGTCTTATATTCTTTTTGTTAATTTTATGTTAAATTTTAATACTTACAAATAATTGTTGACAACTGATTATTGAGAACTGCTTATCAAAATTCGCATTGTTGATCAGTTGTTAGAATTCGACCACCGTTTTTGGACTTAATGACATTTTTTGGGCATTGCATTGACGAAACTTTTGAACTGTCTCTCAGACGACACATCGTTGCGTTCTAGTGCTAAAACCAATGTTGAACAAATCAGCTATTCAGGTTAATTTGGTACGTAATTGATTTTTTATTTCCCAAACACTAAATTTTCTTGAATTAGCAGACATTCTTTATTTATATTTTTATAGTGCGGCAAAAGGTCTACCGTCGTCTTGAATGTGACGCTTATGACTACGTTACGGCAATTCAGAGAAAAAATAATAAAGTTATTACTTTATTATTATTAGAAAAAATTATAGGATTAAAAATTTAAATATTTTAAAATTAGTTACTTTATAGCACAAATTAATTATTTTAACTAACAAAAAATATGTTAAAAAGAGATCTAAGAAGTGAATTTTTTTGTTAAAAAAAAAAATCATGTAAAATGTGAGAAATGTAATGGCGAATTTGCTATTTCGCCCGGCTGGAAGAATGCTATTTCAAAGCACGGGGGCACAGAAACATAAAAGATATTTAAATATTACTGCATCTTCCTCCAAAATGCAGGAAGACTTTCTGAAAACAATTTATGGAGACGAAGAAAAGAAATTAGCATTAGGAGAAGGACTTATGTCTTTTCATACTGGTAATAACAATCATTCCTTCAGATCTTGCACATCACAAGTTGTCCAAAAGTTATTCAACAAAAAATACGACAGCAATCTACTAAAAGAATTCACTCAAATGAGAAGTATGCCAAAGAATAAAATAATATTATACATAATTGTTTAATGTATTATATTTGTAAATTGTACTTATGATGAAATTAAAAAAATATATATTACAATACTATTTTTGCGTGCTATGAAAATTTGTGTTGCTGCATATAGACCAAACTTTTAATCAAGATCAAGAATCTCTCCCCCCCCGGTCAATGGTGTCCCGCTTTACCAATGTTAAAATCTGATCACCTTATACTACGAGCGATGCAGTGAGTTGAATGCTCAGAGTGGGTCCAGAGGTCAAACTAGGAGGTGTAAAGGGCGTGACCAATAGTCACGTGTGATCTGACGAAAAATGGCACGAACTCTGCATTTATAGTAGCAGTTACATAACATGCCAGAATGTTCTCAAAAGTTCTGGTCTAGGGGGAAGTTCCTGAAAGTGTGGAAAGTTAATTAGAGATTGTCTGTTCGCGTAGAACAAAGCCATCGTATTTTTTATATTTTACACACATATATATATATATAATATCGCTGTGTGTGTGTGTATCTGTACATATATAAAAGCAGAAATTATAAAGGAAGTTTTCTTTCCGAAAATTTATATAATTTTTATGATAGCAGAAAATCATTGCCCTGGTGCTGGTCATTGAAATCATTTTCTGCTATCATTTTTGCGCTGTTTTCCTCACTCGGACCAATTCTTAAATAATACTCGTATTAACATATTTTATCATGATATAAGCCCGGAAGGCTTAACGGTCAAGATGTTATCCTTCAATGGTCAGAAAGAAATATGCTCAAAAATATGATAATGGAAAATTACTATCAACTGAAAAATTAATTGAGAGAAACATCGGACATAATGTGTTGCAGTGAAAACTAATTGGAAATTTAAATTTTTTACGTAAATTCCTACGACGTTTAGGTATCCAATTAAGATGATTTGATCCGCTATATTTAAAAACTGCCATTAATTAGTGTATTATATATGTAAGCAGAAATATTGATCCTCAAAAGTCTTATATGTCAGTGAAAAACGTTTCTTTAGGAACTGTGTTTAAATTCAGCGTGAATATAAAATTCCTGATAAGAATGTTACGTATAAATAAACAATAACGCATACACCCACATACTACACATACGTTAAAGAAATTAAAAATCTCTGAATCTGCTCCTTATCGGGGCAAGAACTAAAATCTTTTAGGCTTTTGTTAGAATAAATTAGCCTTTTATTATGAACCGAAAATGATGCAGATTTGAAATAAGTTTAAATTTACAGGTTTGGGGGTTTTACTAACATTTAATATTTGCGCCATAAGTGAAAAGTAAGATAAGTCTATAGTATATCTTCAGAAAGAAGTATTTTTTTAGATTTTAAAATTTTTGACAGACCTTTTAGATGCTTGCTATATGGCGAAATAAATTCATAAAAATTACATTTTTTTAATTAAAACTTTTAAAATTTGCACAGAATTTCATAGTAAAGTATCCATATAAACATAAATTGTAGTTTTTCAAAAACAATTTGCTGTAATATTAAAATTAGAATTGAAGTAAAATAATCCTATTAAATTAAACTGGACTGGTAGTTTTATTATTGATCTGATTTAAAACTCTTAAGCGAAAGATCTCATATTCGATTATTAATATTTTCTTATATTTCATAATTCAAATGTAAATTTTCTCATAATCAGTTCAACTAAAATTAAATTTATAATAACAATGAGATTGATAAAATTTCATTGGCTTTTGTAACTTTTCATAACTGACGTAAAAGTATTCGTAATATTATGGACTTTTTAACCTTAATGTTATATAGTAATTAATTACCACATAATAATCTTCAAAGGTAATACTTTAAAATGCTTACTAATAATGTTTTAGATTCTTATATTCTCAAAATTCAGCAAACTTTTAAACAGCTGAAATTCAGTTAAATCTAGATTCAATCCCCTATAAATGACGTAGATGAAAATACATTAAGTGATAAACTGCAATGGAGCTTAAGAGGCTTTACCTAAAACAATAGAAAACATGGAAAAAAATTAAATAAATTTTGATGAACAAATTCATTATTTCTCTTTCACTCACACATAAAAGAAAGATTATAAATTAGTTTCATATCTACCTTATAATTTCCCTTTAAGAAATCCGTATCAGCAGGGAACATGCAAGAGAACGCTCCTAGTCGCAAAGTCCTATGTAGACAAACTAGTTCTTAATTTGTTTTCATTTATTGCTTTGCTATTTGTTATGAATGGTGTTTTCATCCGGCTCAAGAAATGAACATGAGTATAGCTTGTGTCACAGAAATGAGATGCCGGAATGTCGTATCAGAGATTCACAACTTGGATCAAGATGCCAGTGATTGTACCAATACTAAAAAAGAGGTCTTATCACTGTCTGTAGATCGAATGCCAATAATATTGCTTATCAGCAGGCACTGATTAGATAGACTACTGTTGTGTTGTGTGTTTCACCACTTAAGAAATCAAACAATATATTGCCGATAAAGAGCAGTAAAATTCAAAACGTTAGTCAAAAGGTCACAAACTTGTCTTTAAAAACATTTCCCAAACTATGATATTCGTGCTCAACGTAAAATGATATTTTCTCTTGTGTCAATACGTTGTTAAAGTAACTCTTTGAAAGTACTAACTGTATAAATGTACCATTTAAAATGATATGATGAATGGAATCGATTAAAGGTCAAAATCTTGTTAAACTTAGATTTTCCCACTTTTCGAGATCATCATTATTGTTTTAAATAATATCCTCTCATTTCGATTAAACTTAATTTAAACAATAGATTATGATGCATACCTCGACAGCAAACAATATGCCTATGTTACATCTAAACTCCAAACTATCAACGTCTCCTCATCTAAACTCCGAACTATCAGCACTATTACATCTAAACTCGAGAATAATCTTACGTAAGAACGGAGTTAGAACTCTGAACCCGAACTTGAATGACTGTTAGCTGGAGAGCGCGTAATTTTCATGTAACCTAATAATTGTATATAAAATGTATAAATGTGTCTAAATATAATATCTTTATTTAAACAGAAGTGTCGGTCTTTATGAAAAAGCTTGGAACTATTTAGATATTTCATCGAATAAGAATTTGGAATGGAACAAGCTCGGCTCCCGGGTGAAAGAAAAGGTAAGAGATTTCATTTTACCTTTTTAGAATTCTATTGAGAGATACAACAATTTTTTGGCATCCCTGCCGGGACACCTGAGCTAAGAATAAGAATTTAAATTAGACAATAAAGATTAAGAATACAATTATTGATTACTTTTTGAATTTTTGAACTGTTAAGAACATGTCTGAATGAGATTTTAAATAAGTTCAAAAAGAAGCGCGCAGCTCTCCGAACATCAGTAACGAAATCGCTTAAAGATTTAGAATCGCAGCTTTCGGAAATTGATCCAAAAATTCATGATTTGGAAGAAAATTTAGAAGTATTAAAGAATAATTTCGAATCACTTAAAAGTGTCGATACAGAATTAGAACCTCTTTTTAAAGTCGAAGAATTTGATGCTGAATTCCAAAAAATCTGAAGAATATCGTCAAAAGGTCGTTAAATGCAGTTTCCGTACCTTCAAAAGAATCGACGAATTAAAACGAAAATCTACTGAAACGGTAGTAAATAACCAGTTCAGTACTGGCAGTCAAAAGCGAAACCAAAACATAACGAGTCTGTTCGAATTAAATTACCTAAGTTAACTTAACGAAATTCTACGGAGATATAAACAACTGGCTAACCTTTTGGAACAGTTTCGAGTCTGCCATTCATGAAAATGATTTCATTAGATAAATAGACAAATTTAATTATTTGAAAGCTCATTTAGGTGGTTCTGCTTTAAATACAGTCGAAGGATTACCGATTAACTGCTGCTAATTACGATTCCTGCAATTGATCTTCTAAAAGAAAGATTTGCGAAAACAGATGTACTCATTTACACTCACATAAATAACATTTTGAACACTAAACCGTTGAAAATCTTCGAATGATGTTCGCGCCTTTAGAAAATTTTATGATAATATTTCTATCGAATTAAGATGTTTAGAAAATTTGGGTCAGACTCTCGAGAATTTATCAAGTGTGTTATGTCCAATAATTCTGAAATCACTTCCCCAAAGATATTTTGCTTGAGATTAACAGAATGAGTAATGGAAGTGCGTATTGTAATATTAAAAGCCTGTGCTTGATTATAGCTGAATGTTTAGATTCACGCGAAAGGGCGGAAGTCATAAATAAGAATTCAGAGCATTCGACAGCGAATAGTGGGCGCCGTCAGTCTGCGTATGCAGTCCAGAAAATAAACACTCGTCATTTCAGCGATGGAAAACAGCAATAAATTAGAAACGAAAGCTTCTTCTGCTTCTAATTTAGTGTCCTACAGGTATTAAAGAAAATTGATTAAGGCATGCATTTTTTTGCAGAGATTTTTCCCATTCAAGCCATAAATGTCCTATTGCCCAGAAACTAACGAATGACGAAAAGGATTGAAATGTACTACGCAAAAATGGCACTTGTTTTAGGTGTTTACAAAATAAAGGTCACAATCAGCAAAATTTGTGATTCTAACATTTTAACATTGCTCCCATTGTCACTCTAAGGATTCTACGATTATATGTAAACAGAATTAATTCCGAGAGTAGAGTAGGAAGGGAACGATCAAAAACTGTCCAGGAAGTTGAAAATAAAGTACTTTTCGAATCAAAGCAACCTGTTTTGAAGTTTATTTACAAACTTTGGTCATAGGGGTAGCTGGGAAAACCTTAAAGGGTTATTTAAGAGTGCTAATAGACACCGGAAGTCAGAACACGTACATAAGTCAATATGCTGGTAAAACGCTGAAATTAGAAAAGATAGGAACTGAAAGAATTAAACATGGGTTATTTGGGGGTGTAGAAGTTTCGGAAGATCATAATCGTTAACAAATAGATTTAACTAGTTTAGATGGAAAGTACAGGTGTAAAATCGAAGCACTAGACCAGAGGAAAATTTGTTCGTCACTACCTAAGACCAAAGACGAAAAGTTAATTAAAGTAATGGAAAAAAGGGGAATCCTTATCAACGACAATCATGCGAATGGAAATCTCTGTCTGTTTCAAGAAAATCCGGAAGAGATTCATATGCTGTTAGGAACGGACACAGCAGCACAATTGTTCACTGAAAGAATTGAACATTTTGCGGGGGATTACGTAGCCTTTGAGACCAAGTTAGGCTGGACATTAATGGGCAAGATTAAAGAGAATGCGAATACATCGAGTTCCCTGTCCGTTCTTTCTTTATCCTTACATGTTTCCGATGCAAATTTGTCCAATCTTTGGCGTTTAGACACCTTGGGATTTCAAGCGAGGGAAAACAAAACGAAAAGTGTCTTGGAAGAAGAAACCTCGAAAACATTTCTTAAAAAGTGTAAAACGAGATAGTTCAGGGAGATATGAAGTAACCTTACCCTTTATTTTAGATAAATCCGTCTTATCCAGTAACTGTACTATGGCAGAAAGACACCTCGTCAAAAGCGAAAGTAAACTAATTAGCACACGCAGAAGAAAAGATTACGAAGAAATATTTGATGAGTGGGAAGCGAAGGACATTATTGAGGTAGTAACGGAGGAAAAGGAGGAAGGAGTGCACTACTTGTCACACAGACCTGTAATAAAGGAGTCTAGTGAAACTACAAAGATACGGCCTGTTTTCAATGCATCTGCACGTTCTAAGAATTCACCCTCTCGCAATGATTGTTTGAGTAAAGGACCAAATTTAATAGAAATTATTCCACGTATATTGAATCGTTTTCGAAAATATCGCATAGGAGTGTCATCGGATATCGAAAAGGCCTTTTGTCAAATCAAAATAGCAGAAAAGGATAGAGATTTTTTTAAGGTTTCTATGGTTCGATAATCAACATAAGTTTAAAATTTACAGACATAACCGAGTTGTTTTTGGACTCACATCAAGTCCGTTTCTGCTAGCCGCTACACTTAGTCACCTTTTAACTACAGTCCCAGAAAAGTTTGTAGAAACTTCTAATATTTTGAAGGATTCATTTTACCTCGATAATTCGTTAATTAGCTTAAATCACATAGATGAAGCTGAAAATTTCGTTCAAGAAGCAAGATTGATTTTGGCTTCAGGGCATTTCAATTTGAGATGTTGGCGATCAAATTTTCGCATTGACATAATCGATGAGATAGAGAGCAAGACTAAAGTTGTCCCAGTATTAGGATTAGTATGGGATTTAGAAAAAGATTGTTTGAGTTGCAAGATCGAAGAAATATTTAACTTGAGGGAACCTATTACCAAAAGAAAAGTTTTGTCAATTACCCAGAAAATTTTTGATCCCATTGGCTTTACTGCACCGATAACTGTAATTCCTAAGCTAATTTTGCAAGAAACCAAAGAAAACATGGAACCAGAAAGATTAAGTGGGATGAAGATCTTTCCTCTTTCCCCTAAGTGAGCAGTTTGGGACTTGGTTGAACCAATTGCCTCTGCTATCTCAGATTGAAATTCCTCGTTGGTTAAATATTGATTACGAAAACGGAGATACCGTAGTGCTCCACGTTTTTTCGAGATGCTAGTAAAGAGCCTATGCCACATGTGCATTTTTAAAGAGATGAAACCATCGAAGGTGTAAAGGTTACAGTTAGTAAGCGCGAGAAGTCGAATAGCCCCTATTAAGGAACTTACGATTCCACGGCTTGAACTTCTTTCCTGTCTGATAGGTGCCAGGCTTGCCAAAACAATTCTATCAGATTTGAAACTTAAGAATTGTAGAACAGTGTTCTGGAGTGATTCTTCTACAGCTTTGGGGTGGATAAGAAGAGATCAAGCATGGGGTACGTTTTGTTCATAATCGAGTACAAGAGAATAAGATTGCTTACCAGAATATCTGACTGGAGGCATGTACCTGGAAGTTTAAAACCCAGCGGATCTCCCATCGCGAGGATGTACTATTGAGCAATTACAGAAATTGGCATGGATGGGAAGGTCCATCGTGGCTTTACTTACCAGAAGACGAGTGGCCCCATGTAGAAGAAAAGCCTGATGAGGAACTTATAAACAAGGAAAAAAGGAAAACGATTCTGACTCTTCTAGATCATGGAGACAATTTGGACCGGTACTACAAATACTTCTCTTCATATAGAAAAACCGTGAGAATTGATCGCTTGGATTTTCAGGTTTTATCACAATTTAAAGAACAAAGATTAAAACCCGTAACTCCTGATGTCTCAGTTTGATGAATTGGAGAATGCTGAAAAGGCACTTTGTAGATTGGTACAGAAAGAATCATTTACAGGCATAAACGATCCCGCTATTTGTGCGCTGAGACCAATCGTAGACCAAAATGGAATTTTAAGAGCCAAAACGAACGTCCTACAGCGTCAAGATAATGAAAATTTCCGATATCCTATCATTTTACCTTCAAAACACCTTCTTGTTGAGAGACTAATTTACGAGAAGCATCTAGAACTCCAGCATGCTGGCGTCAGCACTTTAATGACAAATCTTAGAGAAAACTTTTGGATATTGAAATCCAGGAAAAGTATTCGAAATATTATCAGAAAATGTGTAAGATGTAAAAGATTTGTTTCACAAAGAGTGGAAGTCGAGCCAGGATTTCCACCCGAAGATCGAGTCAGAGAAGGGGCGACTTTTGAAGTCGTCGGCGTAGATCTAGCGGGTCCTCTCTATCTCCGTGAGGGGTCTAAAAGCGTGGATAGTATTGTATACGTGTACCATTTATAGAGCCATTCACCTCGAACTAGTTACTTCTCTATCTACAGAAACTTTCATCCAATCTTTACGTAGATTCATTGCCAGAAGAGGTAGACCTTATGTGATATATTCCGACAACGGAACTAATTTTGTAGGGACTAACAGTGTTCTTAAGAAAGTTAATTGGAACGCCATATGTTCAGCTGCTTCTATCCAAAGGATACGATGGAAGTTCAACCCTCCGACCGCCGCCTGGTGGGGAGGTTGGTGGGAGAGGCTTGTGCGAATGGTGAAAGAAAATTTAAGACGAGTATTAGGTCGAACGTCCTTAAATTATGAAGAATTATATACTATATTATGTGACTGTGAACAAGTGATTAATTCGCGATCTATCTCATACGTATCAGAGGATAATCAAGATCCATCACCACTGACCCCTATGATGTTCCTGCAAGAATTGCCTTCATCAGGCGTTCCTGATATGGATTACGTAGATTCCAAAGAACTAAACCGTCGAGCCAAATACCGACAGAGAATAAGACATGATCTACGAACAGATTTCGTAATGAATATCTTGGTCAGTTAAGACAACAGGCAATAAAGAAGGAAAAATTTCAAAAGTTGCAAGTAGGCGATGTCGTTCTATTGGAAGACAGCCAGAGACGACGCATACATTGGCCTTTACCCAAAATAGTCGAGCTTTTCCCCAGTAAAGATGGAATAGTTAGACTAGCGAGGGTCAAGACAAGAAATGGAATTCTGCTTCGTCCAGTGACCCGTTCCCCGACAGAGCACCTCGAGATAGAAACGAACATGCAACTGGTCAGGCTGATCAGGCTGCTAGTATTCCAGAACCTGCTTCAAGTCCTCGAGTGATGACCAGAGCTGGACGAGTTGTTCGGCCTCCTCATCGACTGGACCTGTGTGTATTGAGTTCCTCCGCATCGTCGGATCTCAATGGTGGGAGGTGATGTTACATCTAAACTCCAAACTATCAACGTCTCCTCATCTAAACTCCGAACTATCAGCACTATTACATCTAAACTCGAGAATAATCTTACGTAAGAACGGAGTTAGAACTCTGAACCCGAACTTGAATGACTGTTAGCTGGAGAGCGAGTAATTTTCATGTAACCTAATAATTGTATATAAAATGTATAAATGTGTCTAAATATAATATCTTTATTTAAACAGAAGTGTCGGCTTTATGAAAAAGCTTGGAACTATTTAGATATTTCATCGAATAAGAATTTGGAATGGAACAAGCTCGGCTCCCGGGTGAAAGAAAAGGTAAGAGATTTCTTTTTACCTTTTTAGAATTCTATTGAGAGATACAACAGCCTATCTATAGTACCCTATCACTCCGTATTTTATTGAATTTACTGCAGTGGTGGCCCACGTCTTTGTTTCTGCTGTTATTAATGTAGTTAGGATACTTTAGGGCAGTGGTGCCCAACATTTGGCCTAACGCGAGCACATTTCCAAAACACCAACATTTTTGTTAAACATATTTCCAATCTTATGCGATACATCTGAAATATTAATTTCGGCAAATGAGTTTGAGATGAATAATAATATTGGTTGAACTTTATGGAAAGCAGAGAAGCGGATTTCAAAATTATTTTTCAGTGCATTTAGGTTTTCCGAGTATTTCTCTGCTTCAATTGCCTTGTGGTTATTAATATGGCTTGATAAATTCTTATGGGTGATTTATGAAATGGGTGATTTTGTTTCTTTCATCTGGTTCATCCGCAGATTTAACTTTATCTGAAAAGCCGTTACAGTCCCAGTCAATTGAAAAGGATTTTTTTCTTTTCCCTGGAGATCTTCGTTCAGTTTGTTCAGTTTAGCTGATTCGTGAGAAAATACAAATCGGATAACCAATTATTATTGACCAATTCTTTATAACATTCGTTTCCGTGCCTTGTGGTTATTAATATGGATTAATAAATTCTGAAAATGGGTGAATGTTTTTCTTTCATCTGATTCATCCACAGATTTAACTTTATCTGAAGAGCCGTTACAGTTTCAGTCTATTGAAAAGCGGTTTTTTTTCTTTTCCCTGGAGATCTTCGTTCAGTTTTTTCAGTTTATCTGATCCGTGAGAAAATAAAGATGGGATAACCAATTATTATCGTCCAATTCTTTATAACATTTGCTTCCGGATTCCCAAGACTGCTTTATTGGCGAAAGAAGCTCTACAAATCCTTGAAGTACTTTTCTCCTGCTGAGCCATCTGACATCAGAATGAACCAATAAGATTCCATGTTCGCTATCAAGTTCATCCGTCAGCAATCAATTATTTTATAACGTCTTGCAATATATCTCTTATGACTATAAATGCTTACCATATTTTAACAATTAAGAAATATAAATGAAGGGTTATTTTTAGACTATTTGTTGGTCATAGTACCTAATCGGACTGGCGAGCTCATACAAAACGATCGGCGAGCACGAGGTTGGGCACCACCGCTTGAGGATTTCCATGCTACATCTTCATAAATGTCTGTTCCGACAACATATAAAACTACTGGAGACTTCTCCAAACTAAATAAAAGTTTATTCCAGCCTTAACAGAATCCATAACGAAGGATCTTACTGAAGGTTCATTGTAGTGAGATCTGAAAATAATGCATGTGTATCTGCGGGTTTGATTTACTAAGCCCACTTTTATGTTTTACTTATTTACAAGTTCAATCAATAAGATTACTAAACATTAGCGGCTTTAAGCGATTCTTCCTTACTTAAATTGGACTTTCTACATTTAGATTATATATATGTAATAAAAACAAACTTAGAAGTTATGAAGTACGAACATTGAGACGTAGGAACACAGAACGTAGATAGCGTAGAACGTAGATCCATAGTGAAGAGGAAGAATTCTAATTGCTCAAATTAGTAAAATATTGAGCCCCTAATAATGATTAGGAAACTCTGCAGCCGAGTAGGATTAAATATTCATCTTTATTTCAATTGACATTTGTGGCAACAATATACTTGGCACTTTAATCGTGCTGCCTGTTTCCAGAATATTTACATTTTTGATACTATTTCGATAGGAAGACAGCACAGAAGCAGCGTCTTTAAGAAGAGAGACATAAGCTAAGTGCACAGTCATGAAATTTGGAAATTTACAAAGAAAGGTTTTGGTTTAGGTTGAAAAGATTTCAGTTCTCAAAATTTGGAGTTTCATGTTTCGAATTAACTACGTCATCAGCATTACGCATGCCATGTGACATAGATTAATTCTAGAAATGGCGCAGCTCAGAAAAGTTATTACTACTTTCAGAATACAGAGAGAAAATAGCCAAATTAAAAATGAGAAATTAAGAGGCTAATACTAAATTAAATTATAAAGCTAATTTACATATTTTTTTATCTTACCTTATATATATTTATATATGGAACTTCATTCTTTTTAAGTAACTGCATTTGTTCTCCCCGATTTTCTTCTTGAATTTTAGGAAATGGTTTTGTATAATTTTTGATTATAATCTTTGTTGGTTCTCAGCAACCTTCTGAATTTGATTTCGTTTAGTCTTGGAGGCTTTTCTTTAGTTTTTAAAAACTTTCTTCGTATTTCACGGTAACTTCTTGTGTATCGTTTTAGGCTTTTAATATAAATATAAGAGCTATCTCAGCGGCTTTTAATTTCCAGATTTATCTGTTTTTTTCGATTCAGATTAAAGCTAATTTAACAGCTTTCGAGCCGCCCATTTTTTAGGTTTTACATACTGATAATTTTAATTTGTTATTTGTTTCAAGTTTTCCCTTTTTGTAAATGATTGTAATTAGTTCATTTGGCCTCTACAGGCGTTTTCGCTTTTTAGTTGTTCAGTTTACTGCCTCACACGGTTTTTAGCGATTTTTATTTGAATCTTTTTATGTATTTTTGATTCTAATTTTGTAATTTTTTGTTTCTGCTTGCGTATTGTAATTTTATTCTTGAGTATTGTAATTCTTGCTGTCTTAAGAGTTACAAATCCAAGTCAGGAAAAGCTCTGAGCATTTGAGAACCATTGGAAGTTACTTTAAATTGCAAATTTATCTCAAAATTTAAGGTCTTGAATTTCAAATGCCTAAGAGGAACGAAATTTGTATTCGGAACTCATTGATCAAGTTGGTTCCGGGCTTCAAAACACTTTTCCCTTGATAAGATCTGTTCGAATCGTTGACCTGAGGAGATCAATATTTAATTTTTTCTCATTTTAATATGTAATGCTTTCCATATTTTAATGTTTACCTTTGGGTACAACTTTCTTCGAGGTACAAAATGGTTAAGACCTTCATGGGATGGAAATTATGAACTTGCATTCAAGCTCCAACTATTTTCTTTTATTTAAAAAGGTTTCATTTTTTTCGAACCTTCAACAGTTGCACAGATCATCTCTTAGTTTTTAAACATTGTTTTAGAAATCTTATAAGGAAGCTTTGACTACTGACTTTTGAGTTTATGTAAACATGTTACCGTGAAAGACCGAAATTGGAAAATGTCGACTTTCACCGGAGAATGTCAACATTCACCAAATACGTCGGTAAAAGATCGAACATTTCTTTACATTCTTGTACATTCGGACCCTCACCGGTGTATGTTGACAATCACAGATACGCTCTGGTGTGGGTCGAAAAGAGAGGAGTGTATGTACACGCTGCCATTCCAAAAGGAAGTGTTCCACAAATAAATGCAGTTGTAAAAGCAAGGGCCTCTTGTGCAACTCAAAGTGTCATAATAGTTTAAGTTGTTGCAATAAATAAGATTTGAATCACATAATTTGGTAAGTTTATAACTTCTATTATTTTCCTTTCTCATTTTGAATGTACTGTGTGTGTTAAGTTCTTATGTTCTTAAGTTTTTATTCTGAGACTCAAGTGCGTTTTTTCGTGAGTGAAATTACGGAGAAGGAAATATAATATGTTATATGTTCAACATTCACCATTAGTACATGGTGAATGTCGACTTTCACCGGTGTAAGTCAGAAATAAGAGTATTTGGAAAATATTTCGGACATACACCAAGCGACTATGTGAATGTTGACATTCACCGGTCAAAGTCGACATTCTCCAGATTTCGGTGTTTCACTGTAACATATGTATATATAATTTAAAAGTGGAAATTCTAATATATATATAATATATGTATTTTTGACCGCCGAAGTTTTCGCTTACATCATTATTTAGACTACATTATCATGATTTTTGTTCAAATTGCATTGTTTAATTTGACGATTTCAACGCTAGAATGATTTGCACCAGAAATGGGAACCTTGCACTTATCATTTCCTGAGCTTTCGTCGGAAGCTAAAATAAGAGCGCCATTTTAATTTTGGTGCTAAGTTTATCGTTTTCTTTTGTTTCATTCAGAAATGCTGGAAGTTTTCTTATGGTTTTATTCTAGTTTACGAGTAGGTTTCCCGCACTCTTCAATTTTCACTTTTAATGTGTAGATTTGAATGGAATTTAAAAGTCTTACATAATTTCTACGTATTTTTTTCTACAATGTTTTTAGGATCTTAGCCGGTTAGCAAATAGGTTACGTTAAGAAAATTATGTAAGTTTAAACTTTTCGGTTAAATTAACTGTTGTATTATCACAGTATACAAACGTGTTTAAAACTGAGTTTAAACTAGGTTTTATTTGCAGTTTAAATTTTGTAATTGAAATTAGTTGTTGTTGTTGAGAGGGGATTTTACTTCAGCGTAATTGCTTCATTTTGAGATTGAGTGTAAATATTTTATAGAAATAGTTTTCATTCTTTTATCCTTTTAATAACTTTTCTTAAAAAGGTCGATTTGAACGAAATGTCAGTTCAGTACTCTTTAGTTGTTCAGCTCCTAATGTTTTAAATTATTGCTCCATGAAAGTCTATCTGAAGCATTAAAATAAGAATTTCAAACTATTGATAGTTGTAATATTAATAATATTTGAATTTTCACTTTGAAAAATTTATAAAAAATTTTTAACTAATAA